AGCTAGACTTGGATGTGGAGCCAATAAAGGAGAACCAGGAAGAAAGATTTACTCACCAGAGCCTGTAAATTTTCAAACTTCTTAATCGAGTTGCTCTTAGTCAGTGGCCATGGAGATATTATAAGAGCTGTTGATGCTCAAAATGGTTGGGCCAAGATTGAGTCCAACTTAGTGATGAGGTGTGATGGATGATGAATGAAGGTGAAGACCTTAAGCATGTGTGTAAAGACTTGGGCAAGCGATAAATATAAAGAAGACAAGATATACGTGGTTCACCCTTAATGAATGGGCTACGTCCACGGAGAAGTATTCTCTCATTATAATGGTGTATGATTACATTTGTACATGGGGTTGGACCTGAATATAAAGATGACAAGTGAGATGCCCATGCCAGGGATCTAGGAGAGAGTCCCTGGCCCTAGGGTCTAGCTCTGAGACCCGGATCCTCTTCTAAGTGGGGAGAGGAAGTCCCCTTTTCACATGGATACTATTCCCTATTTATAGGGAGGTGAAAGTGGGAGGTTTGTGTAGATTTCCGATGTGGGACTTTGCACAAGTCACTGTGGTGGTGACACGTGTCATGGTGTTGATGCTCTTGGTGCTAGTTGCTTTGATGCTGGATATGCTCGGTTGATTATGGTGTAAACATATGTCAAAGTCAAAATACCACAACAGTAAACATATGAAAGGAAGAATCATAAAATCTTATTGGAACAAGTCAAAATACCCTAAAATTAGACGTAAAAGTTATATCCCCTTTATGCTCTCTCTCTCTCTCTCTCTCTCTCTCTCTCTCTCTCTCCCTTCTCTTTTTTGTTCTTGCTGGAGATGCATTAACTACGGTGATTAAGAGAGATCAAACTCACTGGTGTAGCAAGTTTGAGTATATTTCTGCACAAAGTTCAGATACAGTTAAAATCATGGTGCTAATAAACCAAAAGGTTGTAGGAACAATGTAAGCATCATCTCTCTTTTCCAATTCTCGGAAATCTTCTTTAAAAGTTAAATCCTTGAACACACTGTCACTCATATCTGAACAAATGGCCTAGGCGGGTGCTAGGCGGTCTAGGTGGGCGCTGGCGCCTAGAAGAAAGAAAAGGCCAGTTTAGACTCGGGACGAGATGACGATGGTGATATGAGGCGACAGGGAGAGACGACGATGAGATTGAAGAAGACGAGAGGTTGCGTGTTATGTTTAGGGTTTAGGAAAGGGCCTGGGCAAGAGAGAAGGGCCTGGGCTTCAGAAAATACAACATTAAATGGATTTTGCATTATGAAATCACTAAAGTAACCACTAATAAGTAACAAATAACAAATAAATTGTGGTCAAAATGTTATTCCCTAAGAAGAGAATAATAAGTAGAACTGTGATCATCCAGTCTGCGAACATGACGTTGAAGGCAACTCCTATGCCGATGCCCAGCATGAGCATTGGCTGAAAGAGAAATGCCAGATCATAATCTATAAGGGGCATGTCCAGTGTTGGGTGCCTAAGTCTCAAATTGAAGTATGCAGTTGAAACTGAAGCACCCACTATATTACTTGCATGACCAATAGGATGGCATATAGTTTTTAATTATGTCTAAACTGAATACATTAATATTAAATTAACAAGTCAAAAGAAAAGATTAATAAGAAAGAACTAACACTTGGAAATGGAAGTGGAAGACTTGGGATCAAAACCAATGATCAAGGAATTTTGAATCCAAACCTCTTCAGTGATTTTTCCTTGCCAAGGATTTCTTGACAACATTTTCTGACTGACAAAAAGAGTAGAGTGAATTTTGTCTTGCGTTGAACTATACCTAAGGAGGAATTCCCAATTCAAGAAAAAGGGATCCTAAGATAAAAACGCCTCCCAGTCCCAGCTCAGGTAGGCTACCCATCATACCAGCTACTATCCCACAGCTGCAGTAAGGAAAAATCTGATGCAACTTCCAGTTTGTGATTTCCTTTCTTTGGATGCAATCACCCTGGTCCTTTGCATAAGAATTTGGCTTCAAAAAGCGTAACGGAGACTGCAATTGGTACCTACGAAATGATAATATTTATGTTCAACTGGACATCATTCTTTTTATGTATGCTTGAGTGTATATAGTTAAGTGTTTCTGTAGTGTCCGTGAAAGAAATCTTACAACTCTGGTTGTTAACCTTACCTGCAAGGAGTTCAGGACCCAATAATTCAGTTGAATGTTTGCTCTTGAAGACCCAGTTGAGCTAGTGCTTTCCTTTGGCAGAGAGACTAGCCTTTTTCAACTCTTTAAGCTCTGTTCTGATCTGGGCTTTTGCTAAAATGGAGGTGGTTCTTTTTGGGTTGCTCAGAACAGCTTAGATTGCAGCGATACTGCCCATACTCATAGCTTCTGTGCCTTCTTCTAGGTTGAGCTCATTTCATGGAGCTGTTTTGGAATTTGCCAAGAGAGGGAAGATCATGAAATCTTCTTCTCAGGTTAGTGATTGATTGCTTAACATGATTGATTGTGATTGGTTTTTTTGGTTTCGTCTCGCGGCTAAAATTAGAAAACCCGAGTATAGCTGGTCGGCTATACTATTTCTTTTAAATAAATTAAAAAAAACGGAGGCTATACTATTCCTTTTTTAAAAAAAAAAAATTAACCGCGTATAGCCGATCGGCTATACTATATCGTTTTCGAAAAAGTAAAAACCCAGTACAGCCGATCGGCTATACTATGAAAACCGAATATAGCCGCCCGACTATACTATTTCTTTTTAAAAAAAATTTAGAAAAACCGAGTATAGCCCGCCGGCTATACTATTTCTTTAAAAAAATTTAGCGAAACCGAGTACAGCCGACATTACCAATTATAGCCGCACGGCTATACTATTTTTTTAAAATAAAATTTGAAAGACCGTGTTTACTCGCTCGGCTATACTATTTCTTTTTAAAAAATTTAAAAAACCGAGTATAGCCGCACGGCTATAAGATTTATGTTTAAATAAAATTAAAAACCGAGCTTAACCGCCCGGCTATACCTTTTAAGTATGTATCCATCTGTTTGGGTTAATGAAATTATGACTTTCCCCTTTAAAAAATTAAACATATTAGAAAAGAAACAATACATGATTTTTGCACCATTTAGATGAACTCCACAAAATTAGCTCCAACGGCCTTGCCGCCTTCTGTCTGCCTCTCTTGGCTCCGAAAAAATTGTTCCACATTAGAGAACTTCTAAACATATTTGAATTTTAATAGAAGCGTCTCCTTTACCGTACACTGGTCGCTTCTAAATAGAGCCAGATCATTAACACTGAAGATGATCACCACCCTATCAGAATCACAGACTTGTTGACCATGGGAATCAAAATTTCAAAATTGTTGTCCTTTCACTTTTCACAAAAGGAACCTTTTAGGCTTCTGTTTCCCAGTTCAACTTGCTGCCCCTATCCAAATGAACTCTTAACAAAGCTTCTTGGTCAATTTGGGGGTGCATATGATACAAGTGACAAAGCTTTCCGCATATTGTTATCATCGCTGCTCATGACTGGAAATTCAGTTGAAAAAGTATGGAGATTCTAGAACCTGTTGCAAGTCAAAGTCGCCTCTTTCTGGGAGTGGAGGAAAAGTCGATGCTGGATATGATGCTTGGAAACTTTCAAGCAACGGGGAAAAGGCAGAGCTATCAAGATATCAATGCAAATAAAAAAATAGTTTAATTCAGGTCTACATATAAAATGTGTGTAAAGCAACTTTCTAAATGCAAGTTCTCAAACAATTAGAAGCAGTTTGACCATTTCATTATATCATAAAGTAAAAATTAGGGAGAAGCTGACTACAGCCTTTCAATGCAAAAGTTTTCTACAATGAAGACGCAGTCGTAAGTTCTTAAACTTCAACTTGAAACCTTGTGAGGAGACATCAAAACGAACTTAAGTAGCCTTGAGAAATCATTGTGTCAAATACAAGTCATTCCACCCAACTTGCTTTTAAACAAGCCAGAAAAAGATCTGAATTTATGAGGAGACCCAATTTCAGGAAGGGAAACAGGACGCAGTTCACTTACATTTTCAAGTATCGGCATGCTATAAAGCTCCACAAATTTTTCCCCAAGTATCTCGTTCATTTGGTCCACATCACATGCATGAGTCCAGAAGGAATCATGCACCCCTGCAACCATATTTTAACACATATGTGAGACTTCAAACATACTTCAATATGTAAGTGAGAACTAAAACCAACATACTTCAAACATACTTCAAAAGAGACTTTGTTTTGATGAATCTATGCCCTCTAATCCTCTAAGTACAGAGCACTTCAGCAGGGTGTAGGTTCCAATATCTTCTGACAAAAGTTCAAAAGTTTAGGAAAAATTATCTTCTTCCAATTTTTTTTTTGGGTCAGTGTCTTATCCTCATATTTGAAAACCATTACACTGAAATTTTGGTTTTAAGCATGCATTTTACATCAATGACTAACAGAATATTTCAAGCCCAGTCTAATGCAGAGTTACAGACTAGACTACTGAGACAAACCTGCAAAACGTAGGGGCAAGAGCTATCATCATCATGTGTGAACCCGTCAAGCGAGTGTACAAAATTTGGAGGAAATGCAGTTCTCTGTGTTCTAGCATCTACTTGGAGTAGGAGAATATATCAAATCTATAGCAATTCATAAAAGATAAGGCAAGAGAAGATTTGTAAGCTTACTGAGTTACTCTCCCGTTGCAAAGCTAAAACCTGAAGTGATGTTCTTAACTGCAACTCCAGGTGAAGAATAGTTAATAAATTGTCACTACAATATTAAAAAATAAGACTGTAGCACCATGTAAGGGGTTGTCTTCTAGCAATATGGAAATAAACCATGATCCTAAGCTTTAAATAGATGAACTCTAAAACAACCCCATCCACATTAACCTCAGAAAAACAGTCTCCTACTTCCAATGAAAATTATTGGTAAAGAAAATTGACATAAAATATTAGAGTATCGAAATTATGATAGAAGAGCATGTGGGTTATCATCTGAGCCCACCTTTACATCAACACAACGCCAAAATCAGTGTATTTCACGGAGAGTGAACAGCAAACAGTTTAAAGAAAGTCAAACAAATCCAACCCCGATGATCATCCAATGGGCAAAGTAAGCCCCTTTTGTCCAGGAAAACCATGAATTCTAAGTCCAAGATCATGACTTCAAACCAAAAACCCACATCCGCGATTATAAGCACACTAATATTTGTTGAATTGATTACTATTTACTAGTACATGAAATTTATTTGTTACCAACTTGCCAGAAACACAGTATTGGGAGAAAGAATTTAACTTTTAGCTGTGAGGATATAGAACAACGAGCTTACCAGAAGAAGAGGTGTAAATTTTGGGGCCTTCTGGAAATAATGATAAAACAGGTGGATGGTTCAAGAATTGAAGCATAGAAAGGGTAAAGAGTGTGATTGAAACGCAAGTAAAAAACTGGGCCTGAGAAAGAAATGTCAAAAGAGGTTCCTTTGGGATTTAGGGGAATTTGGTTGAAACTTGAAAGGAGCCAAAGGTGCAAGCTTGGAAGCTGGACCATGATCCTATGCTATCCACGAGGCCTTAATAAACCATCATTTCTCACTACCAGAAAAGAAAAAATAAAAAAGGAAAAACAAAAAACAAAAATGAGTCTGGTCAAGGAGGAAGAGAGAAAGGTGAAAGCAATGGCTGGATCCTAAAAAAGCAGAAAAACAAATTATACAAAATTTCAAGAGTCTTCAACTTCAACTCACATGGCTACAATGATCTCGTCCACATTAAACACAAAGTACAGAAAATAAAAGTTGAAGAAAAAGGGCCAAAAAGGAAGCTGCTGCACATCTTTGTTCAATTGTTTTTGCACAGTACTTCTAAATGTAGTTAATGATTTTAGGATAGGATACTAACTGTTTATACAGTTAGCTACCTTGATTGCTGATGGACTGCTATAATTGACAGGTTTTGAGAAATATCTGGACACCGCAACTACCTTAATGCTGCGTACTGTAGCATTTTCTACCCAAAAGAAAGCAAAATATGACAGCTTGCTGTACTAAATACTGTTGGGAGAGGAACTAGGAAGCTTCATATTTCATCATCATCTGTTCTTGTACTTGTTGTTTATCTTGAATGTTTTTAACTGAAGCCTTTTCGAGCTACAAGACTAGGACGGCTGAGACAACAAAACCTTGAATTTACCATTCCATTCCAAATTGAGTATAAACAGAATTTACTGCATTAATGCTTGATTTGTTCTAATGATGACACTCACAAACGCGGGCTCCACATTCAACTCATAGTTATAAGACATCCTGTTGCAGAAATGTCCACGTACTTTGACAGTATTAATTCCTCTTGGTTCCGTTCCATCAAGTGCTTCTTCTTGTACAAGCAAAGTAATGTCCTTTTCTGGTCTCTAATCTTAATCCTATCCTATTCTTCCCATCATTTTCCTCGGCACCCCACCCCGCTACACCTGGTGCTTGCTGCTGCTTCCAAGCATGCTAGAGTTGGCAAAGATGAAATATAGGCAATAAGGACTAAAATTTCAAACTCTCAGAATATGTATACCTTTGTGATTTGGCCCACAATTATTCACGAAATTGGACGTTTTCTTTAATGTTGAGGCTAATAAAATCCAAAACTTCTTTCTTATCGTAACCAAGTTCAACCCTTTTTATTGCACCACGCATCCTTTAAGCAATGGCCTTCACTTCTGCACGCCAATTCTTACCTTCTATATCACAATTCACTCTTCTTCAATTTTCTGCTCTTACACCACTTCTATATTTTAAAAGAAAAAATCTTTTTGAGAATATCCACCAGAACCCTCATTTGAAACGTTATTTGATTCTACCGTCACTAAAAGATTGACAAGACCATTATATATTGCTAAAGTTGAAAAATGAGTTATGATTTTTTCATCATCCAATTTATTTTCGGTCAAAATTATCATCGTCAAACTGTAAAACACGTTAGATAAATGCGAAGGTTTGTATTTTCCAAACATAATGCTATCTTATTTGACAACCGAGTAGATAGAACAGCCTAGGTATATAGTAATCATATATCTTTAATAAGCTCATAACCGTAAGAGCCAAGTACAAGTCAATCTCATAATATGATTCTCCAAAGATATATCAACTCCAATAGCTAATGAGTGGAAGTTTGGCATTTGGGCTTTTTATTGTGAATATTTGAAATTAAATTGGCTAAGGTTGTTGTTGACAATGATTATGTAAGTAAGTCACATGCTTGACAAATCAGAGTTACAGCGATGCATATGCATAATGCATCTCTATTTGAATGAATGCAAATTCCCCCACCACCCTTTCCTTTTCCAAGGCCAACCACGAACCAGCCAATTCTTTTTGGCCAACTCTAAAATTCCAACCCCACCTAAGCAAATACCCAAAAACCAAAGGCCTCAAATGCAAACCAACAAAACCAAAATTGATTAAACAATTAGAAACACTGTTCCAGGCTTGTGAAGATTCGAATCTTGCCCCACGAACATTCGAAAACAAAATGCGCATCTGACGGCTAGAAATTCCCCCAGACCAAAATTCCAAAGCATAATTCTAGCATCCCAACACCAATATAGGTATGGCTCCTCCACGGATTTGCCAACTCGGACTCGCCAACACACAACTTCACAAATCACATACCACCAAAAAAATCGTTGCTAATAACTTATAACTTCCCTTTCTTCCTTCTCTGTCTCTCTGTCTCTCCCCTGTCTCTCCTGGATCAACTTTCTCCTCCGCGCCGGAAAACCCATTTTCCGGTGGCGGGAAAGACAATTCGACCGTTGGGCTCAACTGGGTTTTCATTCGAGTCTTTTTGGTGTCTTGTTGTGATTATGATGTCGGTGGCGTATCCGCGAAAGTCAATAACAGAGAAAGTGTTTGAGAAGGTTGGGAGATATTCATACCTGAGCTACCTCAAGAACAACAGCAGCAGTCACAGTCTGAGGTGTGACGATGAAAGTGACGACGATTACTACGAGGATGGGACTATGGAGCTGGTGCAAATTGGAGCTGAGAGGACCAAGAACGTCTTGATTCTCATGAGTGACACAGGTGGTGGCCACCGAGCTTCTGCCGAGGCCATACGCGATGCCTTTCGTATGGAGTTTGGCGATGAATACAGGGTAATTGCTTAATTGGGTTCTTCATTTTCTCTTCTGAGTTTTCTTGGGCTTTCTTTGATTTTGTCTTTGTCATTCATTTCTATTGATTTTCCTTCTGGTAGAATGCTTTTGGTTTGAAACTGCTGAACTTCTTGACTTTTTGTTCTTTAAGTTTTTGCCTTTTCTTCTTTGAAATATCTGCGTACGTATGTACCATTTAATGATTAAGTTAATCTTTCCAAAACCATATTTATCCAATTCATACGAATTCCGAAATTTAATCAAAAGTGTTCTTGTGCTCCTGTAAATTCCTTATTTGACAAGTTCTTTATTCGAACATGTTTCAGATATTTGTGAAGGATGTTTGGAAAGAGTACACCGGTTGGCCGCTAAATGACATGGAGAGGTCATACAAATTCATGGTGAAACATGTGCAACTGTGGAAGGTCGCATTTCACAGCACCTCTCCTCGATGGATACACAGTGTCTATCTTGCTGCTATTGCGGCCTACTATGCCAAGTAAAGTCTCTTACCTCCTCCCACTTTTCATTTTCAATTCAATGAACCCCATACACAATTTTGCAAGTGATTGTTTGTAGCCTGCAAGCAGAGCTGTAGTTTCGTCATAAAAATATCCCATTAAAGTATTTGAAGGACTTTCACTTATGCTTTACGTTTTTATCTTTTCTTCTTTAAAATGATTCTTTATCATCCACTTGTCTCCTAATCAATCGTTAGAGATTAAAAATAATTATTGCTCTAGGTGGAGAACTGATTCTGTTGACTTAGAAAGTTCTAGTTTACTGGGATATTTGCTAAGTACTAAGTAAGTAGTGCTGTGTTTTAATTGAAGGGAGGTGGAGGCTGGTCTCATGGAGTACAAGCCAGATATTATAATCAGTGTACATCCTTTGATGCAACATATTCCTCTGTGGGTTCTCAAATGGCAAGGCCTTCAGAAAAAAGTGATTTTTGTGACAGTTATCACAGATCTCAACACCTGCCATCCTACATGGTCAGTTTGATAAGGCCAATCAGAGTTTCCAATTTATGCATGCTTATTAGTCATAGGCAACCATACAATATTCTCCTAACATGGATATAGTATCCAGGTTTCATCCTGGGGTGAATAGGTGCTACTGCCCATCACAGGAGGTAGCTAAAAGGGCTTTATTAGATGGTCTTGAAGAGTCTCAAATACGTGTTTTTGGCTTGCCCATCCGGCCCACTTTTGCCCGTGCAGTTCTCTCCAAGGTGCGTTGCATGTCTGAGATTATGTTTGTATGTAGGGTTCAACGTGCTTGGTTACTGAATTTGCTTAATGGTGCCCTTTCTCCCCCTCTAATTCTTGGTTGCATAGGATCAACTCAGGGAAGAACTTGAAATGGACCCCGACTTGCCTGCGGTTTTGCTGATGGGAGGTGGTGAAGGAATGGGACCTGTAAAGGAAACTGGAAGGGCTCTGGGAGAAACACTCTTTGATAAAGAACTTGGAAAACCAATTGGGCAGTTGATCATCATATGTGGGCGTAATAAAAACCTCGCCTCTACACTCCAGACCGATGAATGGAAGATTCCAGTAAAGGTAAAATTTTGACACTTTACATTGGGGGCAAATACAGTTTTCTTTTGAAACATCTGTTAACATGTTTTGCCTTTTCCAATTTGCAGGTTAGAGGGTTTGAGACCCAAATGGAAAAATGGATGGGAGCTTGTGATTGCATCATAACAAAGGCTGGACCTGGCACAATAGCAGAGGCATTGATCAGGGGGCTTCCTATCATCCTCAATGACTACATTCCAGGACAAGTTAGTGACCATTTTCTTTTTCACTCTTCAATTTGATTACATGTAACCATTTTCAACTTTTCCATTAACCTTTCCACTTCATTTGGCAACCCCCCAGGAAAAGGGCAATGTGCCTTATGTGGTAGACAATGGGGCTGGTGTGTTCACCAGAAGTTCCAAGGAAACAGCCAGGATTGTGGCTGAATGGTTCAGCACCAAAACAGATGAACTCAAAATGATGTCTGAGAATGCACTTAAACTGGCACAACCCGAGGCTGTTTTCGACATTGTTAAGGACATCCATGATCTTGCCTGCCAACGCGGTCCTCTTGCAAACATCCCTTACATGCTGACATCGTCGTTTACAAGTTTAATCTAAATGAATAACGTACCTCTGTCTTCCTCTATTAATTACTGGGGTATTCCCACTAGAATGCCATGTACAGGTTCGAAATAGTTCTAATATTATCATTCTTTGGCCTCAGAGGCTTGTAGCCCGCAAATGGTTGTAAATTATTGTAGACAAGCTCTGGTGTTTCGAAGGTTTGTTTTTGTTTTGTTTTAGAATATCGGAAGTAGATATCCATAGGATGACCATGCCAAAGTTGACGACGTTGTAAAGTCTCGTTGCAATGTTATGATTTTTCTTTTGCTTCAAAGCAAACAATAGTTCAAAGACAAAGACACATGCCAAAACTCATCTGCCTTGTAAGTAAACTTGTCCATGTAACTTTCCCTTGGCTTTTAACCATTTGACACTTTGAAACAAAGTCTGTTGCAAGTTGCAACCCGTGTAGCAAACAGCACGCATAAATAACTAGTCGTCGTCAACACGATATTATAGTGATTTGAGAGTCGTTGTTTTGAAGTTTGGCATACATAATTAAACTGGGTGGCTTGCCCTGGTCCACCTCCAGCTCCAACATTTGATCATCCATCTCAGCTATGTTGTCTTCTTTTGGTTGACAGTTAGATATGATATGAAAATGAGAAAATGTTGGATCATTCATCTCTTTTTTAGTTTGACTAAAATCATAGTGGACGCCATAATCACCATCAGAGATTATTTTATACAATTTTCAAGGAGAACAAGTCTTCGCAGGATTATATAACAATATTAAAAATAAAAACAAATGATGCATAAGATATATGCTAAAACAAAGACTTTCAAAACAGGGACAACATAGAAATTTTTCTAGGCAAACAATGACACAACAACAGAGAGCTGATTAGATCACAATTTCACAACACAGCAGATGCAGATGCTATTTTTTCACAATCTATATCTGGGCCACTTGATTTAAAAGTGAATAAATGGGCTTTTGTTTGGGTCAAACAAAAAATCCCTAGAACAAATGGGCTTTTTAATGTACCTGAAAATTGAATTAAATAAATAAATAAATAAAAATAGAAAATCAGGGAGCGACTTTGATGTGCTTTGACGGTTAAGATGGGAGTTAAGCTTACTCTTGCAAGCGAGGTATCACCTTAGAGGATCCAACTCCTTCCACCCACCAGAACACCATGGCTATTCTCTGAACTTCCTCTCATCTCTGAAAGCTACGACATTTCCAAACCTTGGCTTGTATTTACGAAGGATTGTTGGATCAGGTACTGACTTTACAACCCAATATTTATTCCTTTGATATAATCTTTGATTTTCATTTTCCTGGTAATTTGCTCTCTTTCAATTGCAGTCGCATCATATGCTTTCTTATTTGGTTGTTCTTCGATTTTTCATGATGTGTTCACCTAAGCTTTATGTAATTGGCTTGATTGCTTGAATTCGGATATGGGTTTACTAAGTTGGTATTTTTAGTCAATATTTTTCATCCATTTTTTAACGTTGTTTCCATGGCCTCCCTCTGCAGAGACCCAGTTGGTTTTTTGGAAACAAGTATTCGTTTTGAGCTTGCAGTTGTCGAGATAGGTCGTCGTTTGACGTAGAAAGATGGTAAAGCTTCAAGCTTTTCGTAATTTTATCTTTTATGCTCATCTTTTTGATATATTGTTGAGGAACATTGGCTGCTAATCGTCAAATTTTTGGCTTTTATTTTATGCTTACTACTTTAATAATACGACTGAGGAGAGAGAATTAAATGTTAGTGAAAGGTGTTGGTTAAAACAGCTACTTGACAAGTATGGTGACAGGTTTATCACTCTAGTTTTGTGGACGAGGAAGGAATTACTAAAGCTTGTGGGTGCCCTCTATTGCCTTTGAAAAGCCATATAAAGGGTCCTGCTCCAGTTTCAGACCAAGGTTTTATATGTGCACATTTACACTTTTAGTAGCTTGTAATACTAGCTGTTTTAAAATTGTTCCATTCTTGTTAAATTCTTTTTGATATGAGGAATATTACTCTTTGCAGATAGGACTGATATTGTTGATGAAGCAATTACATTCTTCCGCGCTAATGTTTTCTTTAGAAACTTTGATGTTAAGAGCTCGGCCGATAAGCTGCTCATTTATCTGACATTCTACATTAATGTGGCTTTGAAGAGACTTGAGGGTTGTAGAACTTTGGCTGAAGGAACCAAGGCCATTATTAATTTGGGCCTGGAAAAAGTTCCTGTGCCTGGAGAGCCAAGCTTCCCTTTCCCAGGCCTGTTTCCTCTTCCTCAATCCCCGCAGGAAGCAGGTGAAGCTCTTTCTTATCTGTATAATAACTGAACTAGTTTTTGCTGTTAGATTTTTACTCAAAAGCTGGTGAAGAGAATTACTCAAAAATAAAAGTTACCCTGGTTTGTGATAAAGTTACTCTTGATGTCCCCTTTGACAGTTCCGCTTCATGGATATTGTTGAACATCAAAGTCAACTTGATTTTAGAATGTTCCAGCTGTTAACATTTCAAACAAGCGCTATCGTTGCTTGCTTTCAGTCATTGAGAGATGACAGGTGTTTGAGTTTCTGAGCATTTGACCTCGACACATGTCTTTATATTTCTTGGCATAATGCTTCCCAGGTCATGGAGTATGCCTTTATTTCTTCCACAGATGTTCTTGACTGTCTGAATTGGTGCTAGACTATCAATTCCACATAAATCATGGACTAGACCCTCCACGGGGAATGCTTTGCTTAGAAATTTCACATCTTTTCACTCTGATGTGGGGAACTTTTAATGATTAACGTGTGTTCTCTTTTGAGAGAGCATCTTATTAAAATTGTTGAGATTATGGTTAGGTCTTTAGTTTTTCTCTTCGTCATGACATCCCTCAATTCCATGTTGAACATCTATTGGTTCTTCCATACATGGATTTTATTTTCCTTTTTTATATTTTTAAACTCAGTGCTATACTATCAGTTCTCCTTGAATTTATTGTCTATTCAGTTTCTCTGCACGGAAATCGCTTTGCATGCATGAATTTGATTGCTAAGTTGACATAAGTCTTACTGAGTTAGCATCTTTACAGGATTGTTGAGTTAAAATTTGGGTTTTGTTCTTCCATATGATATACTGACAGCTTCAGACCTTTAATGATATCATCTTCTCATGTGTTTGAAAATATTGAATGCAGAATTGCTGAGGAATTATTTGAAGCAGATAAGGGAGGAAGCAAGTGGGAGATTATTAAGTGTTGCTTATAGACCTAACGGGACGCCTAATAAGTGGTGGCTGGCATTTGCCAAAAGGAAGTTTATGAACATCATTCTTCCATCATGATCATGAATAGCTGTAAACTGGATTTTCCGATCAGTAGTCTAGTGATATTGAGCCACCGGAATAATTTGCAAATTGTTAATCATTCTGCACATAATAACAGAACAGCATAATACCAAGTCCATCACCATGGTTGCTTGTGTATAAAAAAATTCTATCGTTCTTTACGAAATATGAAATGATCCCTCCTTTCTCCTCCTTTTTTCGTTTTCTATCAAAGATTCAGACGTAATGTTAATGTTAAGCGAAGTGAAGTGCTTGGATGCGTGTGTTCCTGTAATTGCTTGCAGGAGCAGGAAACTTGATTTTGCTGGGAAGTAAGCAATGAGAAAGTTTTGCATGTATTGATTCAGTTCAGTTTACATGTGAAGCATTAATTAATATATTGATTTAAGTTTAAATGTGGTTGATTTATCAACAAATTAAGAGACGCACAATTAATAAAGCTTTCCGTCCTCTAATTTGTCCATATGTTGATGGGAAGTGTCCTATTCTGTCTGTGTCCGCCATGCCAACCATGCACGATGTGTAACATCCGGCGGGCATCGACAGTCAGATTATATATGAATGATTGAGATGTATCTCTCATCTCACCACCTTTTCTGCATTTTAAGCAAACCAAACCACCGGGCCAAAGAGATAAGAGAGAACATGATTCAATGCTTTCCTTTTTCTTTTTTTCTTTTTTGAGTTAGATTAATGCTTTCTTATAAATTTTTTTAAAAAAATCCGCTTATGCCTTTTTAACTGTACCAACCGCAGATATTTTTTTTTTGGTCGAACTGTACCAACCGCAGATAAGAAACAAAAAATAAAAGAAAAAAGGCAGATGCAGAGCCTGTATGATATATAGCTCCCCCAGCTCTCACTATCGCTCCTCAACATCCATAAAAACCATTCCAAATTTGGCCAAAAATAAAATAAAAATACGAGGCAATAAAGAAAAAGTAATTGCTTTTGCTTCCTTCGGTTTCTCTCCATTTTTCCTGAATTTCTTCCCTCTTTTTTCGATCAAACAAAAAAGAAAAAACAATCAACTAAAAAGATTAAAATTCTTGTTTATTTTTGAAAACTAATTTACATTATTTTTTCTTTTTCTTCTACTTGTAATCAAAGCCAAGAAGCTGAACATGCTACAACAGAGCCAGTCCCCCTCATCACTCCATGGTCTCTCACTCCCATTTCCTTTAATCTCGGCCGTTGATCTCTCCCATCCATGACCCTTATGTCCTTTAAGCCTAGGGTTTCCACCATCAATCTCACCCCAATCTCCGCCACCACCACCATCATCGCCGTCCATGTCGTCGATGGCCAAGATCACTCGCACTAGTCAACAGATCAACGGCCATATTTTGCCCCACCCCTGTCCCCACCTGGCCGAGTTCCGGGCCAAGAACGGCTCCAAGCCCTTCCGAGCATTGCAGGACTGTCTCCGAGTCAAGCCGCCGGGTGGCCGAGCTTCCATCCGCCGCGATCCCAAGGAGTTACCGCGCTGCGGCGCTTGCGGCGAGTCCGCGTGTCCGAGGCTCTACGCCTGCATCACGTGCGCCGCTGTGCACTGTCACGTGCCTTCCGGACCCTCCCATGCGGCTGCTCACGCCTATTTGATGCCTCCGGGTCACGAGATCGCCGTCGACGTGGATCGAGCCGAGCTTTTCTGCTGCGCCTGCAGGGACCAAGTCTATGACCGCGACTTCGACGCAGCAGTTGTCCTGGCTCAGACCGCTGCGTCGACCCTGACCTCCTCGGACACGTCAGCGATCCAACAGTACGCGCCGGAGAATCTCCGGAAACGACGCCGTATCGATTACAAGCCGTGGATACCGGATCTGAGAGAGAAATACTTGGTGGGGAAGAATTCGAGTCCCTTGAACGGCAACGTCTCGGATTTGCCTTGGGGATTGCGCGGGCTCAACAATTTGGGGAACACGTGTTTTATGAACTCGGTTCTTCAGGCATTGCTCCATACGCCGCCGTTGCGGAACTACTTCCTCAGCGATCGGCACAACCGCTACTTTTGCCAGAAGAAGAGCAATGCCGATAATACCAGTAAGAACACTGCCGCCAATAATAATGAAAGTGGCGGGAACAAGAGTGCTGCGCGCATGTGCTTGGCTTGCGACATGGACGCCGCATTCTCGGCTGTTTTTTCAGGGGATCGGACACCCTATAGCCCTGCAAAGTTCTTGTACAGGTTTGTAATCTGTACAAATCTCATTTTTAGTGACAATGTGGGTACTAGCAAGCAGTGTGAGGATTTCATGTGTTTTTTCCCTGTTTTGGGTATAATTATTACTTTTTCTCACCTGCGGTTTTGTTTTGCTATTGGCTTCTCTTTTTCGTTATTTTTACTGATTTGCTATTGTGGTAATACTGTAGTTGGTGGCAGTACGCGGCGAATTTGGCAAGTTATGAACAGCAGGATGCGCATGAGTTCTTCATTTCTATGCTTGATGGGATTCATGAGAAGGTGGATAAGGATCAGCGGAAACCTGAGAGCCAAGGTTAATTCTTTCTTAATCTGAAACTGTTCTCCTAGGCACCAAACCCGGCCTGATCTTAATAATTTTCATGCAATGTTTTATGTGCATATGCTACTTCGAATTCTTGGGTGATGCAATTAGTGGTTAATGTGATTACGAACTGTGTGCGATATTCTTGCATTTCATGAGTATTATTGTGCTCATCTCTTGTCTTTAGAGAGTGACTTGTCTGGTTAACTATTGATTTTCTACTATGTGCAAGGACACGTAGCTTTGAGTTCTGCATATACACATATGGAATGTGAATTAATAGGGTGTCTATATGTCTCCCTGGAAGCATCTCTAGTTGAATTCACGTTGGATTTTTGTTGGAGTTGATTATTTGCTGAGAGTTTTTGAAGTTGAGCTAATGTTAAGATTTTGAGGTAGTTATTTTATACATTAGAATGTAATGCCTTTTTGGGGGCAAAAAGATTTTATTGGATTATCTAGTTTTACTATTGGATCACTGCCTGTAGCTCCTCAGAGATACTGTAATCCTAAGAAATTGTTAGCTTTAATTTGGTACTTCTTAGAAGTCGTATTCACTCTTTGTAAGCCAGCTTGGGAATTGTCTAAGTTTCAACATTGCGGTAAACAAGTAGTGCAAACCCTTCAATGGCTTAAGAGCACTTTATGTCATACTTTTCTATTAATATCAGAAAATGAGCTAATGGATCTTTACAAGATGAAGCACGACAAAAGTTGGTGCTAGGTCAATTCTGCAAGACAAGTAACTTAAGAGTTCCTAATGAGTAGTTAACTCCCCAACTTCTGTATTTTTGTCATTTATTTTAAATTAAGATGATTCCAAATACTGTTGAAGATTAAAGGTGACTTTAACATCTAAATGCAGGGTGGGTCTAGGTATCTGGTTTGTTGCCCTAGGAGTTGACAAGTGCTCACAGATTTAGGGCTAATTTTCAACCTCTACCTGCTGGCTTGATGGCGTTATCCGCTTCACCCAGTAAGTCAACTTTCACCTAGCTTTCTTGGGTTTATCTAGGGTGTTCTCTCTTTTCGTAAGTTTCATTTAACTCAACCTTTTTGCCATGTTTAGGGTCTAATTAGAAAAAGGACCCCAAACCAGAAAATCCAAATATTCTCTTAGGTTCACAGCCAGCCTAATTTTTCTCATCAATCCTCTGGGCACTCCAATTATTTACATCAGAATTCTTTCAGCCATCTTGTTGTTTAGTCCGAAATGTTGAACTTGATCTACCTGTTTATTGGCATAGGTTATTATCTGGTGTCATGTATCCTTTCTTTCATCTTGGCAACTGTTTTGTTGCTTTTGTCTTTCGACTTGTCTCAGTCTTTTGGCATGCTAATTTCTTGCTGTGACTCAGGTAGTTTCCTAATATAGTTTTTCATTTGCAACCTTTAGGCAGTAAGAAGGGGTTCTACGAGATGGTATTATGTACCTAGGATTCCACTGCAGTACATGCATGTAGTTGAGTGTAATCTGGGACGTATATAGTATAGAGGCTGACAGTTAATGTTATATTAATGTTTGTCTGATAGAGATAGATTCCTAATTAGCATGAAAATATCCAACAAAAGTGTTTCCAGACATCGGAGATTGCTTGATATGTGTCTTCACCTGTATCTGCATACACTTATACTATGCCTATTATATATATATATATCAAATTAAAATTAAAATATCGTTCTGATAAATCTTCATTTCTTTTGTAGTGCAGGCAATGGAGATTGTTGTGTTGCTCATAGGGTTTTTTCTGGTATCTTGCGATCTGATGTTATGTGCATGGCCTGTGGTTTTACATCTACAACATATGACCCATGTGTGGATATCTCACTGGATTTGGAACCTAACCAAGGAGGTTCTGCAAAGACAATGTCCACGAAGTCAAGTTATTCTTGCAACGGCGAGGCAGATTGCATGAATTCCAGCCAAAACTGTGGGGTATCTACCCTTATGGGATGCTTGGACCGTTTTACACGACCTGAGAGATTGGGCTCTGACCAGAAATTTTTTTGCCAGCAGTGTCAGGTGAGGCAGGAGTCTCTCAAGCAAATGTCAATAAGAAAGCTTCCTTTGGTTTCATGCTTCCATATAAAACGATTTGAGCATTCTTCAGTGAGGAAGATGTCAAGGAAGGTTGACCGTTATTTGCAGTTCCCATTTTCGCTAGACATGGCACCTTATCTGTCATCTTCCATCTTGAGGAGTAGATTTGGAAATAGGATTTTGCCATTTGGAGGGAATGACCCAGATGCTTCAAACGAATTATGCTCAGAGTTTGAATTGTTTGCTGTGATCACTCACACAGGCAAGCTAGATGCAGGCCATTATGTAACTTACTTGCGATTAAGTAATCAATGGTACAAGTGCGACGATGCTTGGATCACACAAGTTAATGAGAATATTGTGAGGGCAGCACAAGGCTACATGATGTTTTATGTACAGAAAATGCTATTTTACAAGGCAAGCGAGAAACGGGGTCCTGCATGATACGCTGGTGAGAGCAGTGATGAAATTTTGCTGCTTGAGACGAAAGATGGGAAGAAAAAAGAAAAAAAAAAGGACAAATATTGAAATGGAATTCATGGCCAGTGCCAGTCTTGTTTGCCGAGAAAACAAATTTGAAGGAATTGCTTTTGGCGCTGGTTAAAAAGAGGTGAGTAGCTCTCTGTGCGCTTAGAGCTCACGGAG